GGGAGCGGTAGGCAGGGAGCCGGCCTTACCTGCTCTGCCGCGCGGGACTAGGGACCAGGCTGGAGCTAGCGCAGCAAACCCCGCAGCACTCAACACAGTCTGGGGCTATTGTCTTGAGCCTAAATAACTGTGCTACATAGTCCTGCATTGTGCTTCTTAGGGACCGCGTGGTAAGCTTCAGGACACGAGACAAAGCAGCCCCGTACAACCAAACCGCAGGTAAGGGAAAAGCAGAGGGGGACTCAACACCCCAGCACTGAGCCAATGGGTCGTGTTCTGCAAGCCAACAGGCAGGGCCTCGTTCGAACTAGCACAGAGCATTAGGATACAACAGCACTAACTTGGAACCAGTATCTCGTTCCCTACAATTGCAGCACCCCCTTAGTGACTGTTTAGTTGCATACAGCCTCAAAAACATAAACCATAGTCAACTCAGCAGTATTAGCAATTCACTGGCAGTCTGGAACAGGGGCACTGATTGGGCAGATTATACCTTTCAGATCAGAAAAATATTACTTGTCAATGGATACCTAACTGCATTAAAGCTGCCATTTAAACTTCCATTGCTCCTTTAACTGATAGGAATTCAGAGCTGCAGTTTATTCACAGTGACATTCATTAGTGTCAGAAAAATAGTGACATTTAGATTAAGTGAAGGTAACCATGCCAAAAAAGCCCATCAGAGTTTAGGAACACACAGGGAAGCCAAACAGTGGAATTAATAATGTCCGCACAATCAACTGCAAAAATGCAACTTACATGGGTGAAGTTTATTTTGCAAGCAGGGCTGACAAGAACATTTCTATTTTCCACCTCTCCCCTTCCAGAACATACAGATTAAAAGAGGGACAGCAAGTAATACACTGAATATAATATAAAAACACACTACTTCATTAATTTTCATCATTTAATTCAATTGAAGTTTATCCACCTGACAGTTTTCAGTGTAGTGCAGTTTAGTGGATTGCTATAGAAGACCTTGGAAAGAGAACATGTAGCTGAGAGGTAGGACTTTTGTTTTCTGATTTTTTTTCAAGTTAGACAATATTGTCCAACTTTAAAAACAAATGTTACATTTTCTAGAACATTTACTTAATGTCAGTGAAGGTTGTTACAAGTAAACATACAAATATTTCCATAAAAAATATTTTGTTACCAAATCTTTAACTGATAATTGAAAAAAAAAAAAAAAAAAAAAAGAGACCTGGTAATGAAATTAACACCCTGTAAGTTTTGAGTACAAAAAAGATATGCAATATATAGTGATCTCAGGTCAAGGCCAAGCAGAATCATCATCATGCTGGAAACAAATCCTGTGGTGTACTACTTAACGTGATTTAGGATTAGATTTTTAGTATTATTGCATCCTATTTTTAAAAAGCCACAAATTTACAGTTACAACAGAAAAATTAAGCTTATGACATTCCAAAGTGAAAAAAAGAAGAGAAACTACATATAATTAAGATTACAGTAAGTGGCAATCTACATATTGCCCAAGTAGTTTAGGCTTTCTGCAAGCAATTTATCTTGCCATGAAGATGAAAAAAATTCTTGCTAGCATATTTATGGAAGCTTGTTAGCTAAATTCACACAACATACAAATATGAGGTAAACAATTCTCAGCTTAGTGTTTAATTCATTTATATTTTCTTAAGAAACAGTAGTCAACTTATTTAGCTGTGCAACAAACTTTTCATAGAAAAAAAATACAGTACTTGCAAGCCAAAGGAAATCAGTTACAAATAAACATTGTTCAGTGATCCACTCATTTATTTCACCTTAGTTCAAGGCAGGCTAAGTACAGATACTGTACATTATAATATGTGCACACAGGGAACACATTACTAGTTCTTTAAGGAGCAATTTCTACATTCTTTCTTTAGGCCCCTTCCTAAATTTGATCCTTCTCTGAAGCATGTTATATGTGTACTTAAATGTAGAGAGATCCATCCGCAGGTCCCACATAACCAACTCCTATTAGCAGCACATCTATTAGTGTCCATATTCCCAGTCCGCCAAAGCTGAAGAGTTTGCCCAGACCTTCACGCCACTGGCCCAAGTAAAAACGATCTGCTCCAAATCCACCAAGAGTGATGCTAGGAACACAACATAACAATTAAAATAGTTGTGCAGAATCCCAAATTTGGATGTCAACTTACCTGCAAATATTTATAGCACACGAACACTAAATTTTACTAATGATGTTCAATTTCGATTAACTAACTAGTTAATGGGATTTCTATTGACTATTCGATTAGTTGAAAAGGACTAGCGTGGCATTCCGCCGTTGAAACATAGAAGAGCCCCAAGCAGGGACTCTTGTACATTTCAAAGTTGGAACACCACCGCTGCACCCCTGCCCCCTCCCACAGAGCTGGAGGGAGATGGCTTTTTAGGTAGCTCCCCCCAGCACCCCCTTCTCTACCCCCCCCCCCTTTCTTTC